GTACAGTCAAGTCTCACTAACTCCGGGTCCTCGGGACCATCAAAATGAAATCGTTGTGGCACTTGTACAGCGCACACAAAAGGCGAGATTAAGCAACGTTGGCTGCGGAGAGTAGTTGAATGGGTGACCATGTTCGGCAAATCTGAGTGTTGCACAATGGATCTCTGTTTCGGCAGATAATCGAGGCTGATTATTCTCTGGCGTTGACGTTTTGAATTTACCTGCCCATCCTTAGGCAAGTGATTTTGCTTGAAGAATGCCTCTGTTCACCTAGAAGTGAATGGGTACCCGGTAGGGAGAGATTGTGACTGTGGACCTCCTAGCGCATGAGGGAGATGAGAATATGTTTTATTGCGTTCATGTTTTCACGTTTAAAACTCCATCAGTCTGAAAACAAAGGTCAGTTTTTAAATGTAGTCCTTTCCGGGTCATGACCTGACCATGAAAAATAATATACGCTGACATACAGCATAGTGTCTCCGTGATTCAACAACTTTTGAAGATCCGGGATAGAATAGGTCTTCAGCAACCCATGCTTTCCGAAAAAGGCGACTATGCTTGTCGTAAGAGGCGACTAACGGGATCGGGTGGTCAGGCTCGCTGACATGGTTGATGCATGTCATCGTATCAAAATTGCGTGGATCGATGTTCATGATGTCCATCACTGGATTGTCTGGTCCAGACTCGATTATTTACAGACCGCCATCACATAGCTGGAATATTGCTGAGTGCGGCGTTAAACAACAAACAAACAAAACGTGATTCAACCTATCAGAAGTAATCAGTTTGGTGAATTGTGGAATGACACCCTTGCAGTTTATGTTCTAATGTGTCACGTTGTGAAGTTTAGTTAAAGCAATATCTTAGAAATATTTTTTCACAGAAGAATTAAAATGTACTTGTATGTAAGTCGGCTAAACATAGATGCCATGTTTTCTAAAAACTTATTACTTTATATATTTATTTATAACTCTCCGTACCAAATGCGTTTGATTCAAAATGAACATATAAAGATAAATCCGGTTTACAAGCCAGAATGAGGGGGTCAGGGGGTATGTGTCTGAGCCACCCCTCCACGTTCCAACCTAATAGGGTTCTTCAGATTGTCATAGCGACTGATTTACGACACCCATTGTCTGAAGAACATTTAATTGCAAAGGCTCATTACCCTGGAGCCATGACATCTATATGCCTTGAAACACTTAATTGCTGTTATTTATAAGATGCTAATCCTATTTGTTAATCCCCATTTTTGTGTACATCGACCGTCTGCCATCCTGAACGAGATGTGCAAGTATGTCACTGATGATTTACTGTTTACATTTATATTTATTACTTACTAAATGTCAGGTGACCTTGGCTATACAAGCCTTGGTCCAGAGAGATTGAAAAAGAGAAGGAAAGGTCTTACCCTTAGCCTAGCTAGGGTTAGGCTGGGTGCTCCGGGGCACCTAGACAACAACCACTACCACTACGTGCTGACCTGGCACATAGTGTCTTTTGTATGTATATATCTACATGAATAAAGTAAAACTGTATATACCGCAAGCCATCGTCTCCAAGTTGTCACTTCCTACAGGAACCACACCCCTTGCATATACGAGTATGCAAATTATTCATTAATCAACGTCAGACCACACGCGTTGTTAATTTCTTCAGATGAATTTAATCTGATGCAGAGATGCGTTTAACACAGCCACTTGGATTATCGGATCAAGCAAGCCAATGAAAAAAACGAGTCAGCACACCCATTGCATTTGTCAAGGATGACTACCAATGCTTATATCTCAATACAAACACAGGTTTACAAACACAGCTGCTGTGGAGATTAGTCTTTGGCCATAATGGCCACTAATGAGGTGACGAGGCATGCTTCTACCTGTATTATAGTCGCTGCATTGATTGATCTAATCGGGCCAGTTCCACGAACCGATCTTAGCCGTAGTCTATCGTAACTCCCAAACTAGACTAACATCTAGTCTCTGTAGGTCTGTTTGGCAGACTGGTCCAATATTTTAACATAGACTTACGGCATTCATAGCACTGAGTTTTTTTAACCAGGATGCACTAGTCGTGGTTCGAATGGTAATGTGTCGAGATTTCGACTCTTGGTTTATCAGTACCATATACGTGTCCCTGGGTTTCCAGCGAAGTGGTGAACATCCCCACCCAAACCCCAGGGCCGCTATGTAACTAAAACAGTGTTTAAGTGTTACAAACCACACCTGACTCGCCATATCCACACTTTACATAAAGAACACTACATAACTTAAATACAGTTTAGCTTACTAATACTGGCATTCTTCCGATTGAGTTGTCGGTCACATTCTGTGACTAATTTGACACGTACCTATTGTCATAAGCCGATGAACCTGACCTAATGACCTATCAGAATATATACACAGTTGCGCCGCATTCTAGGCATTTGAAAATAACAATGACCTATAATAATGCTGAATTTATATATTATTATGTATAATTGAAATCTAAGATAATGGGATGATGTATTGTTCAATATGACATGCAGTGCTGTATCATTCTCACTTGTCTAAATCGTTTCCAGTTCATCATTATCGTTACATCGTGACTTGACTCATATGCTACAGTTCTGTAGATCAGCTAACCCCACGAACAATGTTCCTGCAGAAACATGATCTTTTCTACAGAGCGCCTGAGGTAGAACCTGTGAAAACTCGCATAGACCAATCTCAGCACAACAACTATCGTAACACCTGCCCTCACTTTCATATAGGGGTCTTAGCACAACGCCCGTCGTAACACCTGCTATCACTTTCACGTAGGGATCTTAGCACAACGCCTGTCGTAACACCTGCCCTCACTTTCATATAGGGATCTTAGCACAACAATTATCGTAACACCTGCCCTCACTTTCATATAGGGGTCTTAGCACAACGCCTGTCGTAACACCTGCCCTCACTTTCACGTAGGGATCTTAGCACAACGCCTGTCGTAACACCTGCCCTCACTTTCATATAGGGATCTTAGCACAACAACTATCGTAACACCTGCCCTCACTTTCATATAGGGGTCTTAGCACAACGCCTGTCGCAACACCTGTCCTCACTTTCATATAGGGGTCTTAGCACAACGCCTGTCGTAACACCTTCCCTCACTTTCATATAGGGATCTTAGCACAACGCCTGTCCTAACACCTGCCCTCACTTTCACGTAGGGATCTTAGCACAACGCCTGTCCTAACACCTGCCCTCACTTTCACGTAGGGATCTTAGCACAACGCCTGTCGTAACACCTGTCCTCACTTTCATATAGGGGTCTTAGCACAACGCCTGTCCTAACACCTGCCCTCACTTTCACGTAGGGATCTTAGCACAACGCCTGTCCTAACACCTGCCCTCACTTTCACGTAGGGATCTTAGCACAACGCCTGTCGTAACACCTTCCCTCACTTTCATATAGGGATCTTAGCACAACGCCTGTCCTAACACCTGCCCTCACTTTCACGTAGGGATCTTAGCACAACGCCTGTCCTAACACCTGCCCTCACTTTCACGTAGGGATCTTAGCACAACGCCTGTCGTAACACCTGTCCTCACTTTCATATAGGGGTCTTAGCACAACGCCTGTCCTAACACCTGCCCTCACTTTCACGTAGGGATCTTAGCACAACGCCTCTCGTAACACCTGCCCTCACTTTCACTGGGGGTCTTAGCACAACGCCTGTCGTAACACCCGCTCTCACTTTCACGTAGGGATGCTAGCATAACGCCTGCTGTAACACCTGCTCTAACTTTCACATTTGGATCTTAGCAAAATCGCATAATCCGTAGTTCGACAAGAACGGAGTTAACGTGGTTCGCTCTATTTGGAAACTCGCCTACCTGTATACCACATCGCATATGCAAGACTGTTCAAGATATCAGGAAAAACATTGAACATGTTTAATCTTTGTAGAATTAAAGAATAATTAACAACTCATCTGTTAGAGCCCTGATAACAAGCAGTACATTGGCGCTGACTGCCTTCTCCTGTGTCGCGTCATTTCAAAAATGCTATACAGGCACATCGTATGGGCATTTGAACAAGCGACAAGTAATGCTTGAGCGGCTGATAAATTGAAATTTCAATACTACAAGCCAAACCATTAAGATACCAGATCGTGGGCGTAATATACACATGGTCGAAGTCAAAGCTGATTGCAGAAATGTTTAGGACCCTTGCCTGGACGTTGTTTCTTGTGCGTATATAAGCCACATTTTAGTCTTTATTCATTGACACTATTTCACATCAATCAGTGGTACCTGCTTTAAACATTGGCCATAAAGCCCAGGAAAATGCAGGAACCATTTTCATTCTCTCACTCTTTTAGAACCGAAAACGTAGAATACAGCTGCCAAATATCTGACTGTCCCTTTGCGACGTAGGGCGTTGTTTATAATATCAGTCAACGGTTGCTCTGGTCCAGGCTCGATGATTCACAAGCCTTCGTGATATAGCTGGGAAAATTCTTATTCCGGTGTAGGGGTAGCCGTTCGTAAAGCGTTTGCTCATCACGCCGAAGACCCGGGTTCCCAACATGGGTACAATGTGTGAAGTCTATTTCTGGTTTCCCCTTCTGTAATATTGCTGGAATATTTCTAATAGCGGCGTAGAACCCAACTCTCTCACTGTCCCATATATCAGATTTAGATGTATATTGGTAAGACCATAGCAGTGTCTTCATACGTATGTATCCAAATCAAGCCACACACAGAGCCTCTAAAGTGAAATGGTTTTACAGTAAATTGGATACGGTTTGCATGTTAATGAATGATAAACTTCATGGCCAGTAGCACCAGAGTATCAAAATACGTATATAGGACGTGAGATCTAACACAGATTAAGACTAATCGGTCAGTCTTCTTAATCATAGCAGGCTAATCCGTCATGGCGTATTAAGTTCTATGGAGCTTATCAGATTGTGCCCGCTTGCAGCTACACATTCAGTGAGAACGAGGCTGTCACATTAAGTTTGGGTCACCCACTGGCGTACCTCCCCAGGAATATGTGCTCCCTCCAGCCATTAATTAATAACACCCTTAAGCTTTACGCTGGAAAAAGTATTTCGAGTCAGCAAAAGCAGTAAGTAAGCGAAAAGATCGTGCAACGTTTTTGGTGGCGATATTGAAGAGACATCAAGTCCTATTGATTGAAACATCATCATAGGTTTCGACAGCTGGATGACAGAAGATGTAAACACATGATATAAAAGGAAAAAGAGGTTACCTGTTTGGGTTAACTGCAACGAAAGCCGCATCTGCACAGGGACAACATAGCGGTGAAAGACAGCATGAGTTAAATCTCTCTGAACCACGGCTCATATCGGCCTGGTGTATGTAACGCACCTTGATTCTGAGAGAAACGACAAGTGACTGTGTCAAACACATGTGGAGGTCATTTGGGGATCTCAGAGAAAGATCGTGTCTAATTTGTGAGCTTTCCCGGTTTTACGCCATGGATATTTGGGACGAGGGCATCTACTGGAGCAGCTGCAGCGACTACCTGGACGGTGATCTCTACCTGGACGATTACTCCCGCAGACACACAGGTAACGTAGCCCAGTACCAACCATGTTTTAGTCCACTATGGCAGACCTGTCTACAGTGTTTCAGTTAACTGGGACTGACCTGCCTATAATGTTTCAGTTAACTATGGCAGTTCTGCCTACAGTGTTTTAGTTAACTATGGCAGATCTTCCTACAGTGTTTTAGTTAACAAGGACAGACCTGCCTACAGTGTTTTAGTTAATTTTGGCAGATCTTCCTACAGTGTATTAGTTAACAAGGACATGCCTGCCTACAATGTTTCAGTTAACAAGGACAGGCCTGCCTACAATGTTTCAGTTAACAAGGACAGGCCTGCCTACAATGTTTTAGTTAACTAGGACAGGCCTTCCTACAGTGTTTTAGTTAACTAAGGAAGACCTGCCTACAGTGTTTCAGTTAACTATGGTGTCCTGCCTACAGTGTTTCAATTAACTATGGCAGTTCTGCATACAGTGTTTCGGTTAACTATGGCAGTTCTGCATATAGTGTTTCAGTTAAATATGGCATACCTGCCTACAGTGTTTTAGTTAACTATGGTGGACCTGCCTACAGTGTTAAAGTTAACTAGGACAGACCTGCCTACAGTGTTCTGCCTACAGTGTTTTAGTTAACTATGGTAGACCTGCCTACAGTGTTTAAGTCAACTAGGACAGACCTGCCTACAGTGTTTTAGTTAACTGTGGTAGTCAAGGATCATAATCAAGACTAATCTAGGAGTCGAACCCATGATCTTGGGCACGCCAAAGAGACGCAGCTCTACGCAGCGAATTACGGCGTCGTTGCGGATAATCCTCATGGGCGCTATGATCTAATATAACAACTCCGTTTGTCTCGAACTAATGATCACTCGACATGAATTCGAGGAATTTACAGTCATGATAAGTTTTATTTGAATTAAGAAAATAACCACCGGATCAGAGAATGAATGAACAAACAAAAGTGGTGTTTATATACCGGTATATTTATCATTTGAAATTTAATTTGGTTAACATGTAGATAAGAACGGGCCTGGAGCAAGCCAACACGCTGCCCAAGGCTTAATCCCCGTTATAACGCAAATCTGAGTACAAGCAATCTTAGGAATAGTTACTCTTTTATATACCTCAGAGTATATATTTAATATAACCTTCACCCAACTTTCAAAGCTCACCCCTTCACAGATCCATTAGTCTGAACTTATCCCTTGTTCAACTGTAAGCGGTTTCAATTCTGACTGAGCCATATTGTACTGTACAGCATGTCTTGTGGTGGATACCCACGGTTACATTGTGGACATGTATACCGACGCCATTCTCACGTAGACATGTAGACACATTGCCCTTACTAGTACTATTTGTCACTTCATGAAAGAACAGAACGCATCATGCCTCATGACCGATCGTATCCTCATTGCCAACCTTCCGTACCTTCATTGCCGACTCACCGCATGTACGTTCATTACCAACTACCGCACTTTCATTGCCGTACCATCCGTACTTTCATTGAAGACCCTCCGTACTTTCATTGTAGACCCTCCGTACTTTCATTGCCGACCCCCCCCCCCCCCCCCCCCCCCCCACCCCCACCCCCCTGTACCTTCATTGTCGACCCTCCGCATTTTCATTGCCGACTCTCCGTACCATCATTGAAGACCCGCCGTACTTTCATTGTAGACCATCCGTACCTTCATTGTAGACCCTCCGTACTTTCATTGTAGACCCTCCGTACCTTCATTGTAGACCCTCCGTACCTTCATTGTCGACCCTCCGTACCTTCATTGCCAACCTTCCGTACCTTTATTGCCAACTCTCCGTACCTTCATTGTTGACCCTCCGTACCTTCATTGCCGACCCTCCGTACCTTCATTGTAGACCCTCCGTACTTTCATTGCCGACTCTCCGTACCTTCATTGTAGACCCTCCGTACCTTCATTGCCAACCTTCCGTACCTTTATTGCCGACTCTCCGTACCTTCATTGTAGACCCTCCGTACCTTCATTGCCAACCTTCCGTACCTTTATTGCCGACTCTCCGTACCTTCATTGTTGACCCTCCGTACCTTCATTGCCGACCCTCCGTACCTTCATTGTAGACCCTCCGTACTTTCATTGCCGACTCTCCGTACCTTCATTGTAGACCCTCCGTACCTTCATTGCCAACCTTCCGTACCTTTATTGCCGACTCTCCGTACCTTCATTGTAGACCCTCCGTACCTTCATTGTCAACCTTCCGTACGTTTATTGCCGACTCTCCGTACCTTCATTGTAGACCCTCCGTACCTTCATTGCCAACCTTCCATACCTTTATTGCCGACTCTCCGTACCTTCATTGTCGACCCTCCGTACCTTTATTGTCAACCTTCCGTACCTTCATTGCCAACTCACCGTATCTTCATTGCCAACTAACCGTACCTTCATTGTCGACTCTCCGTACGTTCATTGTCGACCCACCACACACACATTTATTAAAAAAACCCATCCAAACCAATAATAGTAAACATTGTGAAGTTAACATATGAACCATCGCCCGACCAATTTCCACACAGGGCTATAGATAAGCCTGCGCAATTTTGCATGTGACCGTCTTATACTTGTTTCAGGCATGTTTCTCATGGACGTGGCTGCGGTGTGTAATGAACACTCCCGGCTGACAAACCGGTGTGAGCGGATCCGTCGTCTTGAGGAGGAGATGCTCGACCACTACAGATTGTATGAAGATCAGTACGAACACAGGTACAGGCTAGGCTCCAGATTTGCTCAGTTGGAGGATCGTATACGACGCATGAAGGCAGAAACTAGATATCTGCTGCACAGAACCAAGTCCGCGTTGCCGCATCACGCCTGGACCCAGAATGGACGGTATCAACTGTACGACAAACCGTGGTTTCAGAGCGACCATGCCAGAAATTCAGAGTTTCAGTATAATAAGGATTACCATATACCTACAGAAACACATTTAAGTCAGCTTGGGGGCAATGCTGAATATTACTACCGAACTGGCGGACAAGATGATACTATAAGGGCAAGATCAGCGTATAATACTCCCCGAACAACACCTCAGGATGGACTATCTGTTGTACACAGTGAAATGGGGGACGCTTGGATACAAGATGGTGATAGAAGTCCTAGCTCTACAGCTAATACTCCTAGATTAGCCGCTCGGACTGGCAAATCTGCAGTACTAAGTGAGAAAATTGTCGGGACAAACGACAGTGATATGTTCCAGCAAAGGTTGAGAGAAATGCTTGGAGAATCAGAAACATGTGGTAAGATAGGATTGACCGGAAGTGAGGATGTCCATGCGCATTCAGTAGCTGCAGAAAAGACAGAACGGCTTAGTGTTGTATCCGATGACATTAAAGACTCAAGCCGCCTTTTCGAAAAGAAGCTTACGGAAACGATTGACACGTTTCGACAGAATGTGGTAGAGGGAAAAGACCGGAACACAGTGGTAGAGGGAAAAGACCGGAACACTGAAGTAGATGTAAAGGAAGATCAACAAGAGCCATGTGCTTCAGATCCGACTGCCGAACAGACCTCCCCAAGGCGAACTGGGACGCCAACGAAACATAAGAAGAAGACCCAACTACCAAGGAAACAAGCAGTAACAGGCGGTCTGGGAAACGACAAACTGAATCAGCAGATCATTGAAGGACTTACAAGGAATGTGAACGAGAGGTTTTATCAGACTTGTTCGGGAAGTGAAAGAGAGCAAGTAAATTTTAAAAATAATGAGTGTGATAGAAAGAACGGGAACGATCCTGGATATACTGACCAACAACAAACTGCTAGAGAGCAGATGCAGGAAAGGGCCCGTGGTCTTGAAACTCTTTTGAAGAATCGAAATAAATATGCAGACTCCAAGCTTCCGAGGAGGAAGGTTACAAATCAGCAGGGGTTGACGGAGAAAGATCTAGACAGAGGGTTTGGAACAGGAAAAGAGAGGAATATGGTGACTGATTTACCACATGACTCTCTTCAAGCTCAAACTGGAAGAAAACTCAGATCTCCAAGACAACCCATGAAGACCTTGAACTACACTGAAGCCAAACGAGAAACAGTTATTAATAATGTGAGGAAGTGTATGATAAAAGACCGATCTTTTAGTATAGTGAGTGACCATCAGAAGACAAGACGCCACTATGTGAGATAAACAACAGTCTATCGCATCTGCTATCAAACACAATTCTACGTCAGTGAGAAATCCCTGTATGGGCGACGTTTGGAGCATTTAGTTTCTATTGACGGTTTGCCTTTGCTTATTTTTACCACTGGCAACATTTGGATTAAACTGGGGTTTTTTTTCGTTTCAACTGGTCCGAATTCGAACGAACATAGCTTCGTGCCTGATTTGTCAAACCATTTGCAAAAGTATTATTCATTTACTACCGGTCGACATTCCGACCTAATTTAACGCGACCACTACATTAACCACATAAACAAACACACTTTATTTGTCTACAATTTAATCATATACGAGGCACGAGATCATATGTCAGCAAGGTAAATATGTTTTTATATGGGTCTTCATAAGTCAATGCGTTAGTAACATGCTAACGCCGACTCGTCAATAATTCAGTTGTATAGGAACAAGTGTAATTGCGTGAGATAGAACAAAATCCTACATGGTACAAATATTTTAATATTTGCAAAACAAAACTTCTATATTTTGTATGGTACATCTACATATATGATAATTAACTATAGTCTATAGATGGGACAAACATGCGCATATGCCTACCTACGGAATCCTACTGTACTTTGGTCCAGATGTGTAATCTTTAAAGCAGTTGCCCATCGTATGAGGCAGTTATGTGATATTCACCATATATCTGAAGTCACATAGTGTAGTTCTGTAAGAGATTCTGAACGAGTCAAGAGGTACCCAGTACATCATACGACCGACTGAAGTGGGAAGCGATTGGTTATTATATGTGACCTTGCCTACCCTTGCCTGCCTAATGTGTGTCTAAAGTGTTGCAAACTACATGTTATCTGGTTGAAGCTCGATAAGTTACTTTCACGATACACATTCATTCACTCACTCACTTATGAATACATGAAGATGATTTGAAAACGTGTGGTATCAGTGTGTCGATGTACTTTGGAAATCATTTGGAAATGCTTTCATTTCCTCAAGAATATGTACTGTGTATTTCATAAATAAATTGTGATTTTGGATCGAATGTCTCCTGTATTGCCCAGTTTCATGTAAGAACTATATTTTGTCATTTTTTATTTTCACACATTACTGCCAAGAGTTATGTGAATATTAACGACAATATTTTTCCATATTCATAAGAAATTCATTGTACGATCACGGCTATGTCATAAGCATGCGTTTATGAATCAGTATCAGTTCGTGATGACACCAAGTGTTCGCGAAAAGATGAGTGTATCCTGCCCCACAATTGGCACTCATCACAAACACTTCCAAAGGCAAGTCAATTGTTCACCTGAAAAAAACATGGAAACATATGGAACGTTATGTTTGAATTCCTGACAGATAACAACGCTTTAGACATCTGCACGAAGCATTTTCTCTTGTATATCAAAAGTTCTTCATTAGATGTTTCAAAAGAGGAACTTGAAATTTCAGAAATCACCAAAACAAATACATATCATTTACTGTACAAGCCGGATATCCTGAAAAATGTGTTTTCCACTGAAACAGGGTAGATAACTTCTCACTTTTACATAACTCTTTCTTCATCTTGGTATGAGAATAGATATCCATAGTCCAGGTATTATTCGGGGTGGTCGGGTGGCCTAGTGGTTGAAGCGTTCGCTCGTCACGACGAAAACCCGGGCTCGATTCCCCACATGGGTACAATGTGTGAAGCCAATTTCTGGTCTCCCCCGCTGTGATATTGCTGGAATATTGCTAAAAGCGGCGTAAAATCAAACTCACTCATTCCAGGTTTTATTCACGTCTATGATGGTTATCTTACTGGGGGAGGACATCACTCTCTATTATTCTATTTCTAATAACAAAGTGGATTTTTTACCAATTCAGGTTCACTCAGTTATGGAGATGTGTCAGAAATAATTTCGACAAAAGCCATCGCCTTAATCCTAACTATATCATTATCGTGTGTATAAATCACAACCAGTGATGATCCCAGGTGTTCGAAAAATGGTGAGCGTATCCTGTCCCACCGGTCGCACCCATCACAGACACATGCATATGTAAGTCAATTGTCATGTTATGTGACAGACCTAGTGAAACAGGTGAATACAATTTGATTAATTTCTCCCAATCATGACAGTAATTAACATAGAGATTGAGCCGAGCGAACCCACATTAAAAAACATGATGGGATTTCAATACAACATATATTATTCACAATGGAAAATGAATTGGGCGTAAGAGGCGACATAATGGATCGGGGATCAGGCTCGGCCATTGCTTGTCATCGTATTTTGGTGGCATGTGTCGTTGCACATAATATCAATCACTGGATTGTCTCCCCCAGACTTGATTATTTACCGGTAGCCGTCACATTGCTGGAATACTGCAGCGACACACAACAAACAAACATAACTCCACACTTAGAAACTAGTGGTGACTCTCTAGTGGTGCAGACAACTCTTGAGGTCGACGGCACGTCTGGGAGAAGGTCCAGTCCATTTCACTGATGTGTCACGTTTCCTTCTTCACTGATATGATGGCAGGACATAGGCGTGTCTTCAGACGTGTTAGCGACGTCTTTACAACGTCTTCCACAATCTCCAACAACGTTGCAGGATTCCACTTCAGGTGTAGAATGCCATTCCCCAAGCCTTTCGTCAACCTTAGTGGCCTCAATGGGGCGAAAATGCCAGGCCCGCATTACTACTCAAAATGGACACAGAGCGTGCCTCTGAACTCCATCCCGTGACATGACTCGTTTGCATACGACAAGAGCGCTCTTTTTATGGACTGTTGCTAGTAACCGTACCTTCAGACAAAGTTCTTTCCACGTGATATAATCTCATCCACGGCATTGTTTTGACGATTCTCCTTGGTATTTTTATATGTCACATTTGCCTTTGTGTTATGATCCATGCTGTCAGAAAGCATACTTATAACATTGGATTAAAATATAAATAAGACGCTGAAGAGTCAGTTTTGTTTCACGCTGAACCTATTCACTTGTCATTCAAACAAATCCTTGGTTGTTTTATTTTCATCTTGTCGACAATTCGTTTTAAAAAAGCAGTTAGAAGACAAGTACTATTTATTTTAACCACCGGAGGTATTACTGTGATTTTCTACCATAAATCAAGTGTTTCTTTCCTGCTTCCATCCTGTACCAGAAGCCTAGTGGTTAAAAAGTTAGCTCGTCAAGCCGAAGACCCGGGTTCGATTCCCTACATGGGTACAATGTGTAAAGTCCATTTCTGGTGTGCCCCACCGTGATATTGCTGGAATATTGCTCACACACTCCATCCAGTGTACTGGGAGAGAGGGTAAAGCGTTCATCAGACAATCCGGGTTTCAATCCCCATGTGAATACAGTTTCTGAAGCCTCTCTTGGGTGTTCCGGTTTTGACATTTGACGTATTCGAAGTAATATGCGCCCAGGGCGCTCTCAAAATTAGAAATAAGGGGCTCTTATTAGAATATATTTTGGTTGGTTGGTTGGTTGGTTGTTTAACGCCGCACTCAGCAATATTCCAGCTATATGACGGCGGTCTGTAAGTAATCGAGTCTGGACCAGACAATCCAGTGATTAATATCACGAGCATCTATCCACGCAATTGGGATCGATGACATGTATCAACCAAGTCAGCGGCCCTGACCACCCGATCCCGTTAGTCGCCTTTTACGACAAGCATAGTCGTCTTTTACGGCAAGCATGGGTTTCTGAAGACCTATTCTACCCCGGAATCGATTATTTTGGTGGGAAAAAACAGAGTTAAAGGATAAATTTCGGGGTTTATGCTGCCAGCCTGAAATGTTCATATTCTTTCTTTTTTTAAATCTTTATTCATATTTCAAATAAAATACAACGTGTAACATTTCATTAATTATACATTATTAAAAACAATCCCTTTAGATCAAACTTTCAAAACATATTGCAAATATAGACAATCATAATATATGATATCGTACTAGTATTCTTTGCTAGGATTGAAGAGTCTGTTGAAGAAGACCAGAACTGAAAGAAAGCTGTATAATTGCAATTTGAGAATGCAATTAACTTGGTCATATTGTAGTATCTAAAAACTTCACGTTGAATATGTTTCAACTTTAGCTGAAAACCCTTTCGTGATTGTTTAAACACAATAAATTTGATAAGTAATATGACTACATTGAGAGAGTTGTTATTCTTCCCCTTAGATCCAAATAAAATATTCTCTTTACAGAAGTCAAGTCTTCCTTCCACAGATGTCGTTAACCAGTTGAGAACAAGCTCCCACATGTGAGCAACATATTCACAATCATAACATGCATGTACAATAGTTTCACTATATATACCACAGAAGTTGCAACTTGGTGAATCTTTATAACCAATACTATGTAAGTAATTATTTAAAGGTGATATGTGGTGGATAATCCTAAACTGAAACCATCTCAGTTCTGCACTCTGGGTACACTTTGTTGCCATCAAATTAAATCCCACCCACTGTTCATCGGTAAATACTTTCTGTAAAGTTTCTTCCCACTTAAGCATTCCCTGACATTTTATGAAAGCTGTCTGTAAGAGTGTGTTATAGAAGAGTTTACTACTTGTGAGTAGTGAAACATTGTATGGCAAAATAGGTTGAAAAGAGACTCTAGGCATACTCTTAAAGTTACAATTGTTTTTTCTGGCAAGTTGCATTATTGATTGAACTATACCCTGATATGTTAGGATATCTGTTATTATTCCATATCTATCAATAAAAGATTCATAAGAATATATTTCACCCGTTCCATCAAAAAGATCACCAACAAATGTAACTCCTTTACAATACCAAGTCGGATAAAAGATGGACTTTCTTCCTATCTGAATGTTGTTATTAAACCATAAAGCCTGGTTTACAAAGTCAATACTACCACTAATATTACTCCTTGATAAATAATTGCTCCAGGCTTGTAATACATCTTTCCAAAAGTAGTTGTCTGCAGCAGGAATAATTTTATCAGTGACATATTTAGCATCTCCCACCCATAATCTGTTAATGTTTGGGATAGAATTCAATGAAAGTAATACCCATTTTGAGTTACTACAAAGTATTTTTTTATATACGACAGGTATATTTTTCCAGAATTTAATTGCCCATAATTAAGGGTGCACATAACACACTAGTGCGTATTATACGCCAGTCTTGTGTACATTAATCAATCGGAAGGGGTGCTAATTGGGATTGTTCACTAGCCAATATATTAGCAAATATAGCCGCGCTTATTACGTCGAATACGGTAATTTCCTAAAATCATTCCACAAAATTCCACAACCTCTCGCTTATCCATCCTGTACCGATCTCTGCCGATCCCAACCATACAACAAATACATGATACACGGTAATTTTATTAGTTGAATTCAAAATCACATACACGATGATACGATTACTAATTCTACACATGCGTCATTGCGTGGCCTGTTCCCGTGTGGTTGGTAGTAACAACAGCACCTTCTGGCACAGTTCTGTCAACCGATCTGGAAAAATACAAATCGTTTCACTTCAGCTTGACGCAGGGAAAACAGACCAACAAACAGATTGCTAACAGACCCTTTTATTTAGTTTACTCACATTGCATATATGGTAGAAGGTCTTAATAAAATATAACAATTAAATGTTCTAAAGCGTTCCCTGGGGAACAGCCTCGTGCTGAGGGGAGACATGATAGGCCCCAATTGGTCAGTTATATAGTTATATAGTTCGAATTTGTTTTTATCATCACAGAAATTAAAAGATTCGAAGGGAAGAGAAATGCTTTTATTTTGTTAACTATATCCCAAATTTGTGAAATTTTAAGTCAGTAGATCCTTGAACCAAGTAATAAACAAGTCTGTAATGTGATGACATATTGCTTTTATGTTTCATGTATCCCTATGGTGTTGTCATGTCTTGCGAAAGTAACGCAAACGCACGCACGCACGCACGCACGCACGCACGCACACACGCACACCTTAGAGGTATGACTGAACAAACTGGATTTTAGGACTGGGACGAGTCCAAATTTACTACCCGGGTACCCGACCCCCTATTACCCGACCCTACCCAGGTACCCACTGCAAGTTTCAAGAGTTGGGAACAAAATGTCTGATTGGTAAGTATTTTACCGCAGCCCTGGCTAAAACTACATGTATCAAACAATCAGATCGTGCGTTCACTGAAGTTGACTGAAGCTTTATCTTCACTCAAACATATACAAGTCAAAAGGAATGGGTGCATCGTCAGAAAGAAATGCGAACATTAGCGACTTGTAGAGTAACCAATGAGCTATAGTGAGTTTTTGTGATTAAACAATATATCACGTGACTACCCACGGGTCCGGGTAGTCCTGTGGGTACCCGGGTCCCACCCGACCCGAGTACCCGAGTTACCAGTCCCAGACCTACTAGATTTGTTCCGAAATCCGATTTCATCCTATCAGTGCCTAACGGTTTATGTTCAAAATCACAAAATGAAAATAAATAGCATTTGAAGTCCCGGGTTCGAATCCCCATGTGGGATACCAAGCCCATGCTTGTGTCCCGCGTCGAATATTACTGGAGCAGCGTTATCCTCATCCCCTCACAATACAAGACAATACAATACACACATCAATAATACTCACCCATAAAACGGAAATGTATCCTCATGTACACAAAGGGCACGAAGATGAACACACCACTGCCTATAAAGATGATAGCGTAGAGGAATTGCATACCAGGGTTCTGTAGAATCGGGGCCAGCACCAAGTAGCATGAAGCTAGAAACACTATCACGGGTACAATTATGGGTACCTGAAATACAAGGCGAAAAAACAGTTTTTATCAATACTAGTATATGATTGATGTTCCTTTATGTAGTATATGAGCCTACCGTACGATGTGACTAAGATGTGATCGGAGGTGAGTCCCATCCATATGACACGATCACCAGCAATATGAGTGGATGAAGACCCATATTAAAAACCCATTAATCCCCGCCCACGTGACCACCACCGATATCACCCAACCCATATCACCCCTACGCATGTGACCCCAGCCCATATGATCATCACCGATATAACCCAACCCATATCACCCCTACGCATGTGACCCCAGCCCATATGATCATCACCGATATAACCCAACCCATATCACCCCTACGCATGTGACCCCAGCCCATATGATCATCACCGATATCACCCAACCCATATCACCCCTACGCATGTGACCCCAGCCCATATGATCATCACCGATATAACCCAATCCATATCACCCTCTCGCATGAGACCCCAGCCCATATGATCACCAGCGATATCAGCCAACCCATATCACCCCCTCGCATGAGACCCCAGCCCATATGATCACCACCGATATCACCCAACCCATATCACCCCCTCGCATGTGACCCCAGCCCATATGATCACCACCGTTATGATCACCGCTCATGTGAGCCCCTCCAATACGAGGTCCACCAAAATTATCACAACCCTTGAGAAGTCAGAGTCAAGAGAATCGTCGGGATTTAAACGAACAGTTGGAAACTTTACTTTGTGTCCTGGGTGTATTATTAAGAATATTTGACTGGCGTTACTTCAGACATCATGGAAAAGTTACATCACATCAAAAGGAAAAGGATGTGTATCCATCCGGAGTACCCTTCATATTGACCAATTCACCACCAGTTTCGTTCGTGAAAGTATGGAAGTGACTGTGTTAATTATTCTACCCTCAATGTTCAATAGTGCATGCAGTCCTAGGCGAATTCTGCGGTAAAATTACCAAAGTTCTGCAGCTAAAATTACTAAATTAATAACTTAATACAAACTCGTATGCATATTAATGTCACTGATATGTGAGTGAGTGAGTGTGGTTTTACGCCTCTTTTAGCAATATTCCAGCAATATCATGGCGGGGGACACCAGAAATGGGCTTCACACATTGTACCTATGTCGGGAATCGAACCCTTCGGCGTGAGGAGCGAACGCTTTAACCACTAGGATACCCGACCGCTCCCATATGTATTGATGGTTACATGTTAGACATAGCTTATGTAGTCATAATACCACAAGAACGTTTACAAGTGAGAATTATTTATTTCAAATTTTGTTTTGGTGAAGGATTCATATTTTGTGTGTTTGAAGGAAGAAAAGCTTTGAATATTGAAATTAGTGCATTGATTGACAAAAAAAAGGGCAAATTCCGCGTTTTTCTTAAATTCTGCGATAAGTTACATTTACTGCAAATATTTCCGCGATCGCGGAATCGCAGAATTCTGGGACTGGATAGGCTTTGGTTGCCTACCTTGTAGGGCCTATGTAGATCCTTCTCCGTGAAGCGGAGGACGATGAGGGACAATGAAGTGACGCCGTACACCAACCAGGAGGCGAAGCTGAAGCAGTCGATGAGGGTGGAGATGTCTCCGGGGATGAGGAGGAGAATAGATATCGTCAGCTGGAATAAACACACAGTTCAATAGTCGTGCATGATGTCACCTGACAAAAAGGAATCCCGAACTAGAATAGGTCCCCAGCACCTTTTGACTTGTAACAAGCGACTAGGTCTGATGGGTTGGCCTGACTTGGTGTCTTGGTTTGTTGGATGTCATCGACCCCGACGGCATGATTGGTTGCTCATGATATCAATCACTGGTTTGGGTGGACAGACTCGATTATTTACAGGCTGCTGTGACAAGGTTACAGTTTTGCTGACTGTGGTGTATAGCATTACTCATGTGTAAAAATGTAGATTTAGACACTGATTTATATGTTTGCTATATAGAGAGTCAACGTCAATAAATATTTGACAGGTCGATGTGCATATCAGCAAATTAATATCAGATAATCAATTTGTACAATAACTTTAGGTTGCTAAGCTCCAAACAGGATCAGCATACCAATATGTATACTATCTGTAACTACGATCGCCTCCAATAGTGGATTGACGTATTGTTTTCACGTTTGCTTCATATAGTGAGTGAGTTTTGTTTAACGTCGCTTTAAACAGTATTTCAGTTATGTTACGGCGTGTCAGTTTGGCTAGGGAGGAAAAACTGATGAGATACAGGTCTCAGGCGTTTACCACTTCGGTGAAACCCAACGGTAGGATGAGGTGCTGACAAACATAGAAACACTATAAAACACGTTTAAGGGACACAACTCTTGGACGCCTGGGCCACTTGTGTTCTCTCCCTTGAGATATCTGCAGTTCTAAGATAGGATTGTGTTAGATACAAATACATATTCGTTTGCATCATTCGTCCATAAATCGACTACTGCTGCTTTCAATGCCGGAGAGCATGAATCAAGGGGTATTTCAGATCTACCAATGTACACCGTCTCGAGCTTAAGGTTTGTGACCATATGTGGTCATATGTGTTGATTCTCTTGTACTAACCGTAAACAACATCGCGGGAATAGGCGTTAGTCGTTCATGATGAATAAATGACAGCATCTTGGGGAAATGGCTGTCTCTACCTGCTACATAACACAATCTGGAAATAGAGTGAATACAATCTGGAAATAGGTGAACACAATCTGGAAATAGGGTGAACACAATCTGGAAATAAAGTGAACACAATCTGGAAACAAAAGTGAACACAATCTGGAAACAATGGTGAACTCAATAGAATAGAATAAATTATCTTGGGTTCTGCAGTAATGCACCACATCACACCAACATTGGTAACAGCAGACACAGTGATAACCCGATACCCATTTCCATAGTGTTTACGAGAAGCCAGGGTTGGAACTGCCATATTAGACGTGAAGGTTCCTGGCATAAGCCTAACCTTCATGACCTCTCTGGAGATTGTTGAGACATCATCTTATGTCATCGCTGTACTTGGTTCCTGACCCGTGAAGACCCGGGGTAGAATAGGTCTTTAGCAACCCATGCTTGCCGTAAAAGGAGTCTACGCTTGTCGTTAGAGGCGACTAACAGGATCGGGTGGCCAGGCTCGCTTACTTGGTTGATGCATGTCATCGTATCCCAATTGCGTGGATGATGCTCATGATGTCAATCACTGGATTGTCTGGTCAAGACTCGATTATTTACAGACCGCCGTCTTATAGCTGGAGTATTGCTGAGTGCGACGTCAGACAACAAACAAACAAACTTGGTTCCTTTGTGACATTTGCATCAAGTGTAAAACAAGAATTTATACGAGGTGTGTACCTTCGTCTTAAAATGGAGTTTAGTGTTGAAATAACATATGTATATATGTATGTGTTGAACAAAGACTTTACCTTCCTGACGAAAACAGGCTCCCGTTGACGGAGCCAAATGTTGACAAGGCCACGAACATCGGAATGCACCAGGACATGACGCCCAAGACTCGGTCACCCCATGTCTACCAACAACAAGATGAGAGCATGAAGGAAACTCATTAATGAAAGTCACTGCCAGCTATGAGTGACATCAAAAGAACAAAATTGTGTCTCAATGTAAAGCTCGACCGCCTTACATCTGAAATGAATATGAAACAGAATGTAGGGGCTGTGAAATTTCCTATAATACGATCGGGAATGAATTTCTTATAATAAATAGAAAGATGTACAGATAAGACGGAATTGGTGAGACACATTTGAACAGTTCTGTATTTCACTCTACTCACCACAGCCACGGCGTGTGACAGGATTATCTCCTCCTTAGACATGACGCTGAAGTAGCCGATGTTGGCGAGGACGTAGCAGAGTGTCGTCACTGGTATGCCTACCATGATAGCAACAGGGAGATTCCTGCAGAGATACATACATATTTCTTCAGGAATACAAACGCTGAAGACAACCTAGCGCTGGCCTTGGAATCCCTGAACCCAGCCGGCCCACACACACGAGGACAGGTCTGGATGCAGGAATACATTGGCGAGCACCTTTTCCACTTTTGAAAGGTGGGTGAGACAGTGAAAGATTATGGTTTGCCCCACTTTCAGCAATATTTCAGGACTATAACGACGGATCTCACCAACTCATGGACGGCGTGATCAGCCAAAGGTTTACCCTCTTGGCGAACACAATCGACCCAGCTTCAACTGACTCACTTTTTAATAAATAGTTACGAAAATAATTTAAAAGTGTATTTCACAACATGATGTCGACGAGGGCAAAGACTCTAGTTAAACCGCACTTTTTTAAGTTATGTTCATCTACCATATAGTGGATGAACTGTTTGTGTTCCTTATTCTAGTGTTACGACTGTCGTAAGTCTGTATTAAGTATAGGAGTTACGATCAACTTATCGCCATGGTCGCTTCGTTGAACGGGACCCTTCTCCCGGTTATGGGCCGGGAACGCCAAATTTGAAGATCAGAAAAAGCTGAAAAAAGTCCCGGAAAAGCCGAACTCATCGATAGGACACTTAAGTTAAAATGCATGCTATGTAAGTCTCGTTTTCCACAATAATACCACCCAAATGGCAAATGCGCAAGTGAGAATGACTTAAGTAGAGAGTGTAAAAAGCGGAACTGTACTATGACGCCGATCTCGAACATCTATGGAGATGAAATATCCACACTAAGATGTCACCATGAAGTTGCTGAGAGAGATTCCAACCTTCAATTCCAAGAAGACTATACTTTACAAACAGCGCCACCAGACCATCCTACGTCATATGACTATGTACATTTTTAGCATTTTAAACATGTTAAACATTTTAACTTAAATGCATTTATTAAACATTAACTTCTCGGAACTTAACCTGGACCGAACATTGTTATGAATATGTACATTTTAAACAGTCATTAACTTTAATGCATAAATAAGGTAATGAAATTGATGAGCGGTACTCCTTTATAATCGTTTCATTTGCCTGGTACCGGGAGCGCCAAATCCCGTGTCAATGAACCGTGTCAGCCCTTACTGGTCCCGGGAACGCCAAGAGGAATTTTCTTCCTGAATATCAAATTTGGCGCTCCAGGGCCGACACCATTAGCCTATTGTGTAACTCTGTTGTCATTACGCTGAAGTTCACTACTCCATATATTTTAGTATTTCGGTTTGTGGAGGAAAATGCCGTACACATATTGCACATTTTGAAACCAAAGAGAACGATACTCATGTCGATTGAGCAAGCATCAACATCGAGCTGAATCTTGGATTCGAACTTAAAAGTAGCGGATCCTGGAGCTTCGTGACGCAACTCTGCGCTGCCAGCAGAGGAACTTTGAAACATGGAGTCACATGTGTCCAGAATAAGAAACCTGCTTGTATTGAACTCTACGTCATAACTCACCTGCTTGGGTTCTCCAACTCCTCCGTGACAAAATTTAAACTATTCCTGAAAGAGTGTAAGTCATTTTAAGCCAGATAATCAAAATATTAAAATATATAGACTTTTACAAGTTTAGACTAAAACGTAACTATAACATTTTATAATGAAATGATAATCGCAAAATCTTAGGGAATAAAACAAAATTATTCATCAATTTATCTGTAATTGCATGCAAATTTGTAAACTGTTGATTTAGTATCTGGTTTGTCCCGTGAAGATCCGGGGTAGAATAGGTCTTCAGCAACCCATGGTTGCCGTAAAAGGCGACTATGCTTATCGTAGGAGGCGACTAACGGGATCGGGTGGTCAGGCTCACTGACTTGGTTGATGCATGTCATCGATCCCAAATACATGGATCGATGCTCATGACATCAATCACTGGATTACTTACAGACCGCCGTCATATAGCTGGAATATTGCTAAGTGCGGCGTTAAACAAAAAAAAACAAAAAAAACACATAAACTAGTATTTGATTTCCTTAAAGAGATGCACATGATGAAATTGTATCCTTACCAACCATCGAATGCCCACAAGCCGTTATAGAAAGCAAATATAACAGTTGATGGATTCTGCGAAGTTCCTTCAAATCCCTCAGATATATACTCTGTGTTACCTGTTATAAACAACGACACGAAGATACATATTCTGCGTTACTTGTTCTAAACCACTAGAAAATATATGCTGTATGTTTACCTGTTATTAACAAATACACGAAGCTACACATGTTAATGTCCGGCGAAGAGAGTGTGTCGACGTCACAGAGGCCAGTGTAAAGTGCGAGTGTCGACGTCACAGAGGCCAGGGTAAAGTGCGAGTGTCGACGTCACAGAGGCCAGTGTAAAGTGCGAGTGTCGACGTCACAGAGGCCAGTGAAAAGAGCGAGTGTCGACGTCACAGGGGCCAGTGTAAAGTGCGAGTGTCGACGTCACAGAGGCCAGGGTAAAGTGCGAGTGTCGACGTGACAGAGGCCAGTGTAAAGTGCGAGTGTCGACGTCACAGAGGCCAATGTAAAGTGCGAGTGCCGACGTCACAGAGGCCAGTGTAAAGAGCGAGTGCCGACGTCACAGAGGCCAGTGTAAAGAGCGAGTGTCGACGTCACAGAGGCCAGTGTACAGAGCGAGCGTCGACGTCACAGAGGCCAGTGTAAAGTGCGAGTGTCGACGTCACAGAGGCCAGTGTAAAGTGCGAGTGTCGACGTCACAGAGGCCACTGTAAAGAGCGAGTGTCGACGTCACAGAGGCCAGTGTAAAGAGCGAGTGCCGACGTCACAGAGGCCAGTGTAAAGAGCGAGCGTCGACATCTCAGAGGCCAGCGTAGATATTGGATGTTGACGTCACAGAGGCAGGTGTAAAGACAGGATGTCGACGTTACAGAGGCCAGTGTTTGTAGAGGATGTTGACATCACAGAGGCCGTTGTAAAGCGTGGGAGCTGACGTCACAGAGACCAAATAGTAGGTGCGGACGTCACAGAGGCCGGTATAAATAGTGGATTTTGACATCACAGAGGCCAGTGTAAGTAGAGGATGTTGACATCACAGAGATGGGTGTAAGTGTGGAAGCTGACGTCACAGAGATCGGTGTAAATAGTGGTAACCGACGTCACAGGGACTGGTGACAGATAGCCAACGCCTCAGAGCAAAGACTTTGGCAGGAGTAAATCTGAAAGTTTACATATGTCTCCATTACTACAACTAGAAATACTCACCTGCTGCTAATTTGTATAGGCCTCCTACAGTGATGACGGCTATAGCGATCAGTTTGAGGACAGTCATGGTGTTCTGTATTATTGTGGCGAGTCGGACGCTGTAGCAGTTGATAAACGTGATCAGCACTGGAACAAGACACCTGGCATTACTAACTGGATCTGGATCGTTACCAAATAAAGCTAGAATGTATCTGGAATATAACTTGAATGTATCTGGAATCTTAATAGAATGAAACTGAAAATCCTTTGGAAAGTAACTGTCATGTATCTGGAATGTGACACAGATATTTATCAGCCTCGTTCCAAGGCAAGTCTCGCTACGAGCACTGATCAGAGCCCAAGATCAGCGGATCCTGCACGACAAAATAAAACATATAAAAAACAAGATTTAAAATGTGGATACTGCGTATTTTTAAACAAACATTTACACTTATGGTTTTACTATAAGTATTATGCAAAATTATACAGACTCTAAAAGATTTATTACAACCGACTCAACCCTTTCCATAATCATAACAGTCCACTATATACGATGCCGACTATATCATAAGCATGTGTTTATGAATCACTATAAAATAGTTAGGATACCGGGTGTTCGCGAAAAGGTGAGCGTATAAAAAACTCAAAATACGTTTTGTTCTTACGCATTCCGACAGCAGTCACCAACTTGATGACGGAAGTCGGGGGATCACATCCGGGGTAGAAAGGCTTGACAATGTACGTTCCCATAGCGAGGCTGATGACGGCCACCATTGTTGGGCGAATAATGAACAGACCAGTCCAGTCAAACAAAAAGGCTGGAAGTTTCCCGATTCTGCTTTTATCTCCCTTGTACGTATACATCAAGTACGCATGCTCCCCACCAGATCGAGGTACGGCCGTTCCGAGCTCGGCGTAGACTAAGGCACCTGAAAGAAGATTTCATTGTTTTGTTGTCTGACTTCTAAACCCGTGTTTATATTAAACTGACATGATTGTCGGGGTTTCTGACATGCAGGGTTAGATTAGGATCCCTGCACTCTTTGTTTGTCGAAAGGTGCGACTGAATCGGGTGATCCGGCTCGGTGCTATTATTTTTTCATCAGTTTGTTATGGGTTGTTGTTTTGGTGGGGTTTTTTTTGGGGGGGGTTGGTTTTTTTGCTTTTCTGTTTCTGTCCGCACTCAACAATATTCATGACAATCTCGTAAATAATCGAATCTGGGCCAATGAACTACGTACCCGAGTTGATCTTATTTCATTCCTTCACGCGACAAGTATGTAAATGCACGTCGCTAGAAGACTGCAATAGTACTGAACGCTGCGTTAAACCCCCTTTCGCTCCACCTTCCAATGAACCCGTGAAGATCCGGGGTAGAATAAGGCTTCAGAAACCAATTTTTGCGGTAAAAGGACGACTATGCTTGTCGTAAGAGGCGACTAACGGTAACGGGTGGTCAGGCTCGCTGACTTGGTTGATGGATGTCGTCGTATCCCAATTGCGTTGATCGATGTTCATTGTGTCAATCACTGGATTGTCTGGCCCAGACTCGATTATTTACAGACCGCCGTCATATAGCTGGAATATTGCTGAGTGCGGCTTTGAACAACACAACCAACCAACCACCTCCCAATGTTAATGAGCAGGTTTCCGGGATATTGCTAAATGCCGCGTAGACTCACTCACTCACTAAAGCTGATCTTTGATTACTGGGGGGCACGGGTAGCCCAGTCGTCTAAGGCGCCGCGATTCGCTGTGCAGAGTTGCGTCCCTTGGGCACGCCAGATATCTATGATTGTTGGTATGAATCCCGGTTCGCCCCGATTATGTTTCTAGGTTTGTCAGCACCATACCCGTGCTCGTGGGTTTCACCAAAGGGGTAAACGTCTGAGACCTGCATCACTTCGGGCTTTCCTCCCACATTAAGCTGACACGTCGCGATATAACTGGAATACTGTTAAAAGCGGCGTAAAACCCAACTCACTCACTTTGATTACTGGGTTCAGTGCTTACACGTCACTACGTGGACCGCATAAGCTGAATTGAGCTGTTTGCCCTGTTAAAAAATTAACACGCAGCATAGCTTATCTTAATCTTTTCAAAATTGAACTTTCTATTATTCAAATGTTTGAAGTAAATAAAAAGTCCCCCTGTCGTGTCAGTAGCAGTTCATCGACTAGTGTTGGAATACTTTATCACAGGTCAAGATTTGATTTCTATAACAGGCACAGAAAATACGCACACGTGAAATCGCCAAGGGGCAATAATCTATAGCGTGACGTTAAACCCCATTTCACCTAACCTAACCACACCCAGTCTCCGTGTATCTGAAACAGACAAAGCCGCACTGACCTAAAAGGGAGGACGACACACACTGGAACACTATAACTGTTCATTGTTAAGCCATGCGTCGCTATTTCTAACAAATCGGAAAAGCAAATATTGAAAATGTACTTTGAATAGAAAGAATATAAAAAACGTGGTTTCGTTAGGATTATTCCTGAATCTACCGCAAACATCGACGACGATCTACGACCAGACAGTATCCGCCGTCCAATATCCATTCATTCATATGCCGACGTTATCAAATAACATACCTACTTGTAGCAAGCCATTCACAAACGCGATTACCAACGTTAAAGGTCTGAGGCGCCGAAATGGACTTGCACAGCAAGGATCCGATTAGGGTTGGTTCAAACCCCATATTCAATCTGATTATGATCCTTGGTTTGTAGGCACAATACGTATGCTCGTGGCTTTCACCATAGTGGTCAACGTCTGAGACGTGTCACCTCAAGCTTTTCTCCCTCAGTTAGCTAACACGCCGTGAGATAACTGAAATATTGTTAATAGCGGCGTAAAACACACCTCGCTCACTCTCTCTCCATGCGGGGCGGTCGGGTAGCCTAGTGGTTAAAGCGTTCGCTCGTCACGCCGAAAACCCAGGTTTGATTCCCGACATGGTTACAATGTGTGAAGCCCATTTCTGGTGTCCCCCGCCGTGATATTGCTGGAATATTGCTAAAAGCGGCGTAAAACCATACTCACTCACTCACTCACTCTCTCCATACCCATAGTAGCCAGTACTCCACACATGGTCCAGATGATGAGGCTGAGCCCCACCGACCCACACCCCTCCAGGACTCCTTTAGGGCTGATGAAGATGCCGGACCCTGTGGAGATTGAACGTCGGTATTAGACATGGTTTCATCAAGTTGTTTGTCTCCATTTAAAATCAGATTGTGATAAGTCAGTGATGCCTATCGAGTGTTTTTTACCTATCATGGTACCAACGATGAGTCCAATCCCCGACAAGAGTCCAATGTTTCTCTTCATCTCCATTTTCGGGGCACCATCTGCCCCCTTGCCGTTCGCCATCACTAGCTGAGTTGGTTTTAGGTTTCAAACTTCAAACTGATGTCCAAATCTGAAACGAAATATAAACATATATAAATACACACTAAATTAATAGAATTATCGGTGTGTATAACACAGTGTGATTGAACCTGAATCGGCGATGCGATACACGTGCGATTTGTTCTGTATGGATAGATCCGGGGTAGAATAGCTCTTCAGCAACCCATGCTTGTGGTAAGAGGCGACTAACGGGATCGGGTGGTCAGGCTCGCTGACTTGGTTGATGCATATTGTCTACAGAATGTACAGGCTCCGTAAACTTTATATAAACTGTTAGCTTTTATTTTAATTACTTTTTATCCCATCCATAATGTTATGCATTGTCTAATATATGCACGTAGGTGTGTAGGCGGGTGTGTTTATGTACGTAAGTATACAGTGCCTCTCATTTATATTATCTGTTGTATTTAATGTATGTTCATATTGTATTCAGTACGACTCTTGTATGGTTGTATGTGTGTATGTATATATGGACTGAGGTGTGAATGGATGGATATAGGTATGGTTGTATGTGTGTATGTATAATACGGATTGATTTAGGTTTGATGGATATAGGTATGTATGTAGGTTGGTATGTTGGTATGTATGCTGGTTATACATATAGGCTAGTATACACGATTGATGAATTAAGTTGTGTGTATATGGACGCATATGTGTATAGATGTATGACATGTATGAGATTGCCGTGAGTGTTTTGTATGAGATTGCTGCGAGGGTTCTGTATGAGATTGTTGTGAGTGTTTTGTATGAGACTGCTGTGGATAATTCTGCATGAGATTGCTGTGAGCGTCCTGTATGCTTACCTGTCTGTATGCTTACCTGTTTGTATACTTTGAGCGGGATTTTAATGCGGATGTGTATGTGGGTGTGTGAGTGCGGGTGTGGGTGTGGGTGTGGGTGTGGGTGTAGTAATATACAAAGTTACAACTATTTTTTCTTTTCTTTTTTTTTCAATATTTTAAATGTACCATTATGTAATTAGTGTCTCGGAGGCCAACTGGCCGGGTGCTGTTTTTTAATGAAATGTTTATATGTCCATATATTTTGTACTGCAGCATGTGACACTCTAATAAAACAATTTTCTTCTTTCTTCTTCTTCTTCATATCATCGTATCCCATTTGCATGGATCGATGCTCATAATGACAATCACTGGATTGTCTGGTCAGATTCGATTATTTACAGACCGCCGTCATATAGTTGGAACAATGCTGAGTGCGGCGTTAAACAACAAACAAACAAATATGTTCGTGTGTGCATGGATTCTGTTCTGCTTGAATCTGATGAACACATTCGGGTCATTGCTATCTACAAGCCAGATTGGCATTTTGGATGTGTGGTACACGGACGGTGGTAAAAGAGTTATTGATCAAAAGAACATATACACATGAAGATACGGTTTGACCAAAACATTACAAACGTTATGAAATCGTTACCAGGTTGAAAACTGTCGCCGAAACACTGCAAAAGGTCCAAAACACAACTACGATACACATATCAAATACATCACCATCGAATAACCATTTATTGTTTGTTTCATTATCAGCCACACATACGTATATACTTTCTTTTCCCGGGCATTTTATAATACAATTAAATACAATACATAAACATTACAGGTTATTCCATTAAACATTAGTGTATATATAGTATATATTTGAGACACATTTTGCTAAAGTATTAAGCTCTTATAAATTTGAAACACGTCATCAGCGTTTCGATTTATAGATAGATATTCAATCATATGTATTTTCACCCGACATTAAGGAATGTGTATATTGGTTAAAACCTTGAAAGGGACCGACCATTTGATATTTAGGGGAGGGGAGACTAGGATTTAATCCAAAAAATAAAGTGACGCAGAGAATTCATGAAAATAAATAATTGTGCTTCAGTCTGTTAAAAAATGGAAATTGTCTACAATAAAAATTATTGTTGTGAGGTGTTTTTCTTTTAGAAATTATTCAGGCTCATAGTTAAGCTTGTTAGCAATGAGGAACGGGTCGCACAAAGTCTGTTTTTTGTATGGATTCCAGTATTTGATGCAGCATGATCAAGTGCAATTATATAAGATCAGCTTGTGGTGTATACTGAGAGTGCTAATTGACATTGACAAAGGTTAGGACCATCCCTTCTTTTTAGAAAAGGCGCATCAATCAATACGTCCAGAACATACACGTCTGTTTTAGAAATATCAACATAGACATTTTGATAAATGTATAAAAAAGTATCGATACCCGCCGTAAACAGCTGTGCAAGAGAAATGTATGTTTCTCCCAGATTGTCGTCAGAACTAATCGGAAACTTACAATAATGATAATCGATTTCTGCTTCAGGGTTTTAATATGAATATGTAACTTGGTGAACCAAGAAACGTGTGTCGTCAGAAAATAACTACAGCATGGATTTTATTGGCTTTCCTGTTAGCAAATATGTAGTAGGCGGTGCTTAACTCAGTTCATTCTGGTTTCACATATTCCATTAAGAATAGAAAATTAGTCACTTTAACACATTGGTGTTACTGTAAAACTGATTCCTTGGTAGGGTGGGATAGTTTGTTTGAAACAGTTTACTTTCTCGAGACACACAAACAACTTCTCAAACGACAACCAATTATTGTTCAGGACAACCAGCAGTGTACGAGTTATGTTGTTTCGGGGTGGGGGGTGGTGGTGGTCGTGGGGGGTGGGGTGGTTTGTGAAAGGATGAGTGGAAAAATTCAAGGATTTTAGGGAACATTATTTTTTGCAAAAGTGATCCAGTCCCCTCCCTCATATGGGCCCTGGTTGATCCCAATTACCTTAAAATCGGTTCAGTACATACTTTCAAAATCAGTTGGGTGTAACCCAGTGTTAAATAGACTGACTGACACTGTCTACTCAGTGGGCGTGTGCAGCCAATCATAGATTGAATGTTTAGTAAATATAGGTTATCCGCATTGGCAGATATTAATGAAACAAAGATGTAATTATGTTTTTAAGTTTTATCAGGTACAATTTATTTTCGATAAAATCCCCGTGCCCACCCCCGGAATATCAAATGGTCGGTCCCTACGTATGATTGACAGGACCTACTCGTCATAGTGTGTCATATTCGCTTTGTGTGAATTCGTATTCATATCAAAGACAACGCACTATGGACATATACACAGCAGATCTAGATCTTCATGTAACCTATGTTGCACGGTTCTCATTCATCGGGGTAGCCCATTTTTCTCTTAACATTTTCATTTCAAAAGATAATCAGTGATGATTTATGATATCAAAACCATGTAATTCCTGACTGAACAGGCAGGTGGTCGTTAAGCACCAAGTGAATTATCTGAATGTTCCAACTGCAGGTATTCACACTACTGTAAGGCTGATAAGTCTGTTTGTTTGTTTGTTTGTTTGTTTGTTTGTTTAACACCGCACTCAGCAATATTCCAGCTATATGACGGCGGCCTGTAAAATAATCGAGTCTGGACCAGACAATCCAGTGATGGACATCATGAGCATCGATCCACAATTGGGATACGATAACATACATCAACCAAGTCAGCGAGCCTGACCACCCGATACCCTAAGTCACCCCTTAAAACAAGCTGAAGACCTATCCTACCCCGGAACTGCAAGGGTCCTGACTACACTGACCGAGTAGTTATTGTCTCCTGTGTCGTTCACTGTGATGTTTTCATTAGAGCCATGGCCACGTCCCTTACGTGTCTGGTCACCGTACTTACCCTGGTCGAAGTCCTTATCTAAAAATCCCTCCTGTTGGAATCGTGTTTTCTATTTCTTCCTATTTCTGTAATGTCATTGTCTTTCCCTGCATGTATCTTGTCCTCGATAACAAACTTGTCATAAGATAAGTACGCCGCCTTACCCTCCTTCCTCGCCTTGACCATGGGTGGTATAAGCACACTTCTTGTGTTACGCACTCTCTGTGTATTGTCAAGACTAACACACAGTGTTACCTACACTGGCGTTTCAAACACCATTACGATACGGAAGATTACGTTAAGAAACCACCGAGTCGTTGCCACAGAAGTGCGCTCGCTAAATTTAGATGCGGGGTAGCCCCATTAAAGTTAGAAACTGGCCGCTATTCTAATATTCCAGCAGAAGAGCGATTTTGTTTTAACTGTAGAGACTGTGTGGAGGACGAGATTCACGTCTTACTTTTATGCCCACTATATAATGATGTGAGAACAGATCTTCTTAAACGATGTACTTTTACTGATCCGTATTTCAAAGGCTATTCCTACTGTGAGCAATTTATACTACTTCTATCCAGCTCCGATCTCACCATTTACGTGACCAAAACCTGCTATGATATTTTATTGAAGCGCCGATCTATTTTATATTCATGATGTATATATTGTATGACATTTTGTATATTCATTTTAGTATATAAGTTGGTTTTATGATCATATCGTCTCTCATAAGTCGTTTTACGACTGGTCGTAAGTTTTAAGCATGTTTTGATTTATATGTATACTGTACAATGTACCTTATGGGTGAGACGCAAATAAATTATTGTCTGTCTGTCTGTCACAGTCCCTCTTAACCTGTCAGTGTCTCTTTTGCAGCTTCCAGCACAGTGATTTTGTCCTGAACTTGAGGATTATAGGTTTTACTACATTTCTCGATTTAAGGCACGTTCGATTTGAATTAGGATTCAGGACGAGTGGGTGAACTCGTATTTTTCGTGTTTTATCTTCGACAAACAGGACAACTATTCTGATGGGATTTAAAAACATTCTGCCCGGAATTTCCCCGTTATACAGCATGGATGAAAATAACGGTTTTGAGGAAGTTGACACTTATACAGCTACAAACAAAAGTGAACGTGGAATTGAAATGATGTTTTAGGTGATTTTATTTCATGCACTGGAGTCAACGAGGATGTTATTGTTGATGATGAGTCGGATGTTGACCTACTTCAGCTCGGTGACATTAATGAAGCTGACACGTTTCGTGAACTTCGTGCAACACAGGACCGTGAAACAATCGATTTGGCGTGTGTCTGTT